GACGTCTTCGTCAATTGTTAACGCTTTGTTTCAGATAAATCAGGTACGATGATGAGATGTATACGCTCGGTGGCGTCGTGAGCGGTTCTATAAATCTTTATGCGCGTGTAGCGTGGTGTGCACGGCGCGCGGGGGGAGTGTATGCCTGTATGTATGTATGTGTGTGTGACGTGGTGTGTGAGCTGCGTGTGCGTACATGCCTGCCTGCATGCGTGGCTGCGTGCCACGTTTTGCAGTAGCTTATCTGCGCGAGTAAACCAGGTATTCTAAGCACAGGACTAGCACGTAGACGTGATGGTCTTACTACGGTGCGCAGACGGCGTGCGTGCGAGCTGAGCGCTGAGCAGGCGGGCTAAGAGCGACGACTTACATCCGGTTCTCATGTGCACTGAAGACAAGCGTAAACTGTCAGTATCACCAGCGAATACTACATACATATATATATATATTATCATATATATTATGAAAATAAATAAAATAAATAATCTCTCTCTTTATACTCTATATATATATCTTATCTATCTATATATATTATATCTATATATATATATGTATTATACATTTATATATATATATATATATCATATATATTATATATACTCGGATCTACTTCGTGAGTAAGTGCCGCGCAGGCTTGTTTTCTTTTTATTGAGACTTCAACTTATATAGCCACCGATATTACAATATATTAAAGCGAGCGTCCCGACCGTTGCCACATCCGCTGCGTAATGCTGTGTGGACTAAAATCGATCAATGTTGAGAAGATTATTGCACGTTATTCACACATATGACGGCTATTCATACGTTTAATTAGGAGTTATTCACACATTATATGAGTTTTATATCAAAATATTATATTAGAGTTATATCACAGCATTATCTGAGTCTATTCAAAATTATAATGAGTATATTCAAACATTATATTGAGTTATTCAAAACAATTATATGAGTTATTCCACACATTATCTAATTATATTCAAACATTATATGAGTTATTCACAACATTATAATGCAGCCTCTTTGTACATTTTCAAGAGTCTTCTTTATACAATTATTACTACTCAACGGTTAGATGCACCGTGCGCATATTGATGCGTACCACGCGCTACTTACGATTGTTATACGAACGCGCTGTCTACTTGCCATCCGATAGGTATTCCTATCTCGCACACGCTTACATAACAACAAAGGGCTTCTCCCCCTGCACAGCGAGTACACCGCGCGGCGTGTCGATTCTCACTAGTCAATATTGCGACCGTCGTTAAAAAAAAAGTCTAAACGTCTTCGTTTGTAATCTATCGAAATCAGCCAGATTATAGCGGTATTCACATGTGCTAGAGAAGCTACGCCATTCTTTATCACGTTGTTCCCCTGCGTGTGAGTGCAGACGTACGCGATCCGTGCTATATCACACGCATAAAATCGAATGAAGTAAGGTGGTAGTTGGTCGTTTTCCACCGAGCAGGCGACCCTCTTGCATCATGATACACCAGCGAGAACGCCTTTACGCGCTGCGCCCCGACGGCATTTCGCCATTGTGCACCGATTATAGGACTTTTTCTTCACAGCGACGTCGGTGTTTGCCAACACTCCGACGAAGACGTTATTATGTGCATGCCCCCGGCGTTGCTTTTTCTTATACGGTTCTGCAACCAGGTTTTAGAGTTCAAGTTGTGTATATGTAGATTAGCGGTAGTTTCATTGCTTCGCGCACTGTAGTTGAATTTCGTGTCGGTTCGATGGCAACAACGTCGCGTCGCATCAGGCTTGTTTGTTACATGATTTCCACGTGTTTACTACCACGTTAGGCACGCCGCGACCACCGAAAAATTTCACTAATTGACCCACATGAACATTGCCCTAACTATATCGGAGGACGTTCACTTGAACACGAAACGCGCCGGATACGTTACGGAAGTTAGAGAACGCACGCCGTGTCGAATTCGTAAGCACAAGCGGCACGACACGTTTGAATTCGCGACAACGTTAGGCATTAGAATGAACGCAGAAAAGCGGGACCGGGTGGGAATTATATAAACACAATGATTCATGCCAAATATACAATAAACAACGATGTACAGACTATAGTTATCGTGTATAGGACTATGGTTATACCACCAC